GGTTTCTTCTCCCTCATTTCATTTTCTTTGTGTCGATGGCGTTTAAGCTGGGCTCTTTCCACAGCATGTCCACCCACACTGCACAACCTTGTATTGATTATTAACTTACTTTGGGGAATCCCAGCATGGCAACCTCCCACACATACCATGCTTCACACACACACACACAGATTTTTTACAAAAACTAAGACTGAGATGGAAAAATCAGAAGTAATATGCCTATATTTGTTTATGCTTACTGGTGCTGTAGGAATCTATGAGGTCCAAAATGTACAATTGGAAATATTATACATTTACTATATGAACAATAAAAGCTGCTTTGGAACAATTAAGGGTTTTTTGTTCCATCTCGTTTACCCTGCATTTTTAGTAGTGTCAGTGGTTTATGCGGTACAGTGTGGGAAAAGGTGTTTTTTTTTAGCCGTGGTTATCACAGGCTATATATGACTTGACATTTGAGTGAAGAAACCAAAGCCATAACATTTGCGCTAAATAGCCTAATTATTCTTTTTAAAGATCACAATGCAAATTACTGTTAAGTCTTTTGATCTACTCTTCCCTCAACCTGTACATTCTTTTATGTTTAACTTTATCATAAAATATACAATAATTCACTAAAATGGTACAATAAATCATTTTCGGGTTATTTTGCATAAATATGCAGCCATTCCTTGATTTTTTTTAATAACTTGTACCTTATTATTATTTGTAGGCTCATTTGAACAAATTGTGTAGAAAACTGAATAGAGCTGTGATTGGGGTTGCAGTAATGGAAAATGGCTTCAAACGAAAAAGGAATGCATTGCTATAGAATCCTATGTATGTCAAGAAAACACAGGGAGTGTCTTGTGTGTAGGTGTTCCTTTAGACCATGGTGTTTGGAAAGGTAGCCACCCACTCCCTCTATCTTTACTGCCGTTGAGACTGACAGATTGAAATGTTTGATATGCAACTCTGCCTGATGCCAGAATTAATGAGAAGCTTCACTGAAACTGCTATTGTAGGAGCTTTAGCTAAACTTTATGATTCTGGTGCATATATTTCATCCCTTGATCATGGAGGGCTAGAACTGGTCACGCTGCTTAATTAAAACTTGATATACCTTTTAATACATCTCTTTGCTGCAATTACCCCTGAATTAAATCGTTTTGGGTGATTTTTGCTGAATGTTCTAGACTGTGCAGCCTGCCTATTGTCTTAAAAGTTATTTCTCTCCCTCAACAGACTGTCAGTGAGTACAAGAACGTATTCTTTATGCTTCTTTTCAATCTTCCGGGCGATTTTCCCTTGTGAGGTTTTTAGGTCACCCATAGAATAGTGTCACCATAACAGCCAAATTAAAACATTTCAAGAGGTAGAATTCAGTGAGTATATGTTTAGGTGACATGTCGAATAGACCCTACAGTACTGCACTTTAAAGAACAAAAGAGTTTTGTCCAATGCCTACTGCATGTCAGAACGGAACGGGGTTATTTGAGAGTTATTGATTACCTGAAAAGCTCCTGTTTTTTTTTCTAGAGAGGCTTTGCTGGATGTTCTGCTTGGTGATGGCTTTCTTGTCCCAACATTGGAACAGCTTGAGATTTTAGATATCGAACCTTCAGGTAACAAAAATGTGAGACTGACAATTGTTCAAAATGTGAGATGAATTAAGTTTCATCGCCTAAAATTGTGCTGAATTTCGCTCCAGACAGCTCTGATACTTCAATACCCTGCATCCCTCGTCTGTTTCTTCAATTCTGGCTGCCACTTCTACGGGTCCTTAACTCCCATATGTTCATCCAGACGATGACTGAGAAGCTGTTTTTGCAGCTGCAGCTCTGCAGCGAGACCTCTGAACACAGGACTTTCTACATCTCTGGTTGGATTTCTGAAATCCTGTCCTGCAATAACAGAGCAGGTATGCTACCTCTTTTCATCAGGTGCATTGAGTGATAGTCATTAAGTGTGTTCTTAAAAATACACATACATTTGTCACACATGGCATGCAAGAAAAAAATCTTCAGTTTCTTTGTTTCTGGGCTGGGCTAGATTTGGTGATTTGTAATTTATAAGTAATACATGTATTGACACCACTTGTAGTTGTTAGTCAGGTTTTAATGTAACACATTTTTCACATTTAGCATTACATGTTTGGGATGTTTTGTGCCTTAACTGATATGTAGCATTGGAGACTTAATTGTTTTCTTTGTAAGCATTTATCCATGAATAGTGTTCAAAATGTGTCTCGGATACTATAGACAATCTCTAATGACATGATCATTTTTCTTTTAAAATGCCAAGCTGAAGAGATTTTTTTAGTAGATAATTTCTATTCGACTTAAAGTTCCTTAGAAAACCAAGGACTAACTTCCTTTCTGAGTTTCATTTTCAGTTTATTACCATTTTCACCAAACATGAAAGGTGAAATGTTTCTGGTTTCTATAATAATGGGAAATATTTTATTTTCTGATATGTGAGTCCACTATCTTTAGTCACTTCGGAACAGGCTGATTTCACTTCAAATACTGTTGATATTGGTACAATTACATTTCTTTTTTCCATTGCATCTCTAAATGGAGATGGGTATGACATTAGTCATAACTGAATCATTAAAAAATCAGAAGAGATAATTAAATGTGACCGATCTGTTTGGAGAACTCAAGTATCAGTATTTGAAATTAACTTTATGTTCCAAAGTATTGTCCACCTGTAACTACTTATTTTTATTATTTTTTTTCAGTGTCCTTTTAATTGGGTAATACCTTTTTAATGCAAACCTGTAATCAGGCCTGTTAAGTTATTTTGTTAATTCTGCGTTTGTGTTAATTAGTAGCAGGCATATATTGCTGAATACATAGGGTGTATTTTTTTTTATTAAAACACGTTTTGTTTTGTGTCGTTGTATTAGATTAGTCATGAATGTGATGAATTGAAAGAGGTTGCTCTTAATTTACTCATGGTCTAGAATTGACTTCTGGTTTTCTAATGAGGTTCATTGAAAGGGGAGTATAATAATATGTCCTGTCATGAAAGGAGGCCAATTGTCTGACTTTTCAATAACTTTGATAATCAAACATGGTGTTTTTCCTAATCTTGCCCTTTTTTAGGGAAAACAGTCAAAGGTCTCACTCCAAGTCAAAGGAAAATGAGAAACAAATTTCAGATGTTTGTGAACCCAGTTCGACTACAGTGGAAAAAGCTGCTGTCGTTGTGCCTTGATGCTCCTTGTGTGGCAACACCACACTTGCTGCAACAGTAAGTTTTGACCTTCCCTGACTGGGACTCTGCAGTGTGCAACAGAGACTGAGAGAGGGTGCTTCAGCCCTCAACCCCATCTCCCTTTGTCCCTTTAAGGTTCCTGTTCTCCATCTCACATTCTTAAAAAGTACTCAAAAGTATGATATAAAATAGTTCAAAGAGTGGACAGAAAAAGCAGGTGCAATTTATGTGAAAGGGCAGCAGCTAAATTGATAGTATGGAGAAGGATTCAGTCTGTGATATTTTATTTGACACTACTGCTACCTAACCATTGGTGTATCCCTCTACTCCTCATACACAGCAAATAGAAGGCGTTGGATAAAAGTTCCTTTGTTACATCCCCCAGGTATTCAAGTTCACTTGATTATTGTTGCTGAGGTGACTTGTTTTTTTCTTCCATAGACTTATTTCGTGGATGAGTAGATTGTTCCTTCAGCCTCACCCAGGGGCAGCTCCTCTCACTTCTATATTAATTTGGTCTGCAATTTCCTATTTCATCAACAGTGAAATGTCTGGAGTAGTTCAAATAACATGAAAAGCAATACAATACCTCTGTTGGTAATGAGGCAGAAACCCGCAGACCTTTGGCATTCCTCTGTGTCCTGACAAGTGTATGAGTCACAGGGTAGATTCGTGTATTGCGGATTTGGACAATGACTTACCGATTTTGTGTTTCTTTTTTTTAAGGTCTCTGTAAGACGGAATTGGTTAGAGAGCATTGTACTTTTTCGTCGCATTGAGAAGCCCCCCTTGAAAAAACATTTTCTAAAAATCCTTTGTGTACCTTATAGCTTGGAAGGGTCAATTATGATGAATTGTAGAGATCATCACCAAAAGAATGTTTGTATTTATACCACTGAGACACCAGCCTACACAGCTGGATAGTGCATGTCCACCAGAATCATCCCTAGCAATGGCAGCCTTTGAAGGTCGATCTTTGCTCTTGCAGAATCCTGACAGATATGGACAAGCCCTTACCTCACGACACCCAGCAGAAGCTGCTTCATCTCTGCTGCATCTACACACAGAGAAGTGGTTCCTGCCCTTCCCCAGACACAGAGCAACAAGAACAGCCTGTTTACACATTGGAGACTCTTCACAAGAGGGCCGTGAAAGAGTCTCCACATGTTGTCACCCACAATTCCAACACAATGTCCCAGGCCATCCCAAAAGACCCAGTGACAGTTCCTGAGATTAAGGAGGACCTACAGGAGCACCTGAGTCTAGAGGTCATAGCTGAGAGAGCAATGGCACTGAAGGGGTCACCGTGGCAGATATGCACAGGTAATACCATATTATATATATACTGTATATTCTCTAAAATCAATCACAGCTCTGTTTAGCCTATTGTTGCTTTGATTACTACAGATTGTCTTAGGAATTAAACTTCCCAGGAAAGAGATACAAGCAGTTATCTTCTCAGACTTATTTAAAATATTCTGAATTGTATTACTTTTACACCCCAACACACCCTTACTGTCTCGAGTAAGGCTAGTTCCTTGGTGCATATTAATATTGGCATTTTTCAGTTTGTTGCGCCCTTTAAGCTGCATCCTATACGATGGTTACTCATACGTGGGGTTTTTAACCAAGTAAAAGGTGTCCCACCCTTATTTCTTAAGTTGTATCTGTGACAGGCCTCACAATGATAGTATTCTACACTGTTCTCTTCAGAAACATGAACTGAGAATTTTTTTTTTTTATCAGACACCCCTTTCAACTACATTCATAGAAAACTAGAAACAATTTTCCTTCAAGCTGTCTCACCCATAAGTTTTGAATTGGTGTTTTTCAGACAACGTGAAATGGAAGAATTACCCACTTGGTAAAGTGCCAGGTCAGTCTGATGACCCAGGTTGCCTGATGGTGGACAGTTTCTCCACAATATCAGTGTTGGATCAGCTTCTTGATATTGACAAGACAGCCCCCCACAGCACATACACCAGGTAAGCTCCCCAAATTTAATATGTCGATACAAACTTAATTAATATTAATTACCATTAATACGATGAAGCTTATACAGTGGAAATATATCCAGTATCTTTAAAGCACCAGTTATATTGACTGAAATATTTTTTATTCTTTAAATTATTGGGGAGGAAATGCTTGTGAGGATTTATTTTGGGGAAAACAACTTCGTCTATTCCACAGAAATACTATTCCACATTTTAAGAATAAAAGCACAAGACTCCATGTGTTGGTCTCCTTACGTATGCTAGACTGAGAAGTGTTTTGTAACTGCACACCAAGAATAGGAGAACAGAGTTAGAGAGTCTCAAAACTAGTCCTTAAAAATCCTTATTGGGAAATATTGTATTGAATTCCTGGTCATGTTAGCAATTCATAATTTTTACTGGAAATGTCCAGTTGTTGTCTGATGTCATTTTCTTAAACCTTTAAAGATAGATAGATAATACTTTATTAATCCCGTAGGGAAATTGATGTGTTACAGCAGTCCAGCCCAAGACAAGCAAAAACAGACAACAGAATAGTTATAAAACAAAAGACAACAAAATAAATAAATAAAAAATAAATACATAGGCATAGAATAAGTAAATAAACTGGCATAGAATGTTATTCAAGCCATAAGCCAAGTCTAATTGTTCTTTTTTAGTAGAAGACAAATTTTTCCTGTGTTCATGAAAGACGGATTGTTGCGAATTTTGTTTTTCACCACATTGTTTTAAAAAGATCTCACTGGTTGTCTTTTGTTGATTAATCAACCGAAATATCTATATATTGATGTATATCTGCTTGTAGTTGAGTTTCTATGGTCTAATTTCAGTCTTGCTTTTCAGTCTGTTTGGATTCTGTCCTAAATACCATTGTAAATTTAATGCTGTTTACATTTTAAAGATGGTACTTGGTCACCAGCTCTATTTTTGTGGATGGTGAAATGTCACCATGACAGGCCTTCAGTCAGTGTACGATTAGGAAGCTGCAGCTGTGGGCTGTCCTATTTATATGGCCTGTCTAACTTCCCTTGAGAGACTGCTCTATTCTCTCGGCCCGCAGAGTGACTGCACTGGCCCTCTCGGAGGGAGAGGGAAGAAATATCACTCCCCTTAAAGCAGCAGTGTGTGTCAGCAGAGAGCTCTCCCGAACCCGTAGTGTGTAATAATAAAATAAGGGTGTGTGTGCAGTCTGTGTTTGCCAGAGAAATGTTGGGGCCTGGGTGCTGGTCTGGACTTTTGCAGAGGTGTAGGGAAAGCCACTGGAGAAGGCAGCAAAGGTGTTGGCTGCTCTCTGGGAATTAAGTCGGCAAAGGGCCAGGGATCTGTTTGAGTAAGTGAGGGAAGTATTATTGAGGTCACCAGCTATTAGCTGGAATGGCCATGAAGGTATGTGAAATGCAGATAAAAAGGAGTTTATGCTGTCTGCCAGAGCTTTAAAAGAGAGCCTGTTGAAAATCAACCTTATGAGCTGCTTCTGAGGGGGACGTGGTGGTTGCCATTGATGCAGCAGGGCTAGACACCATTCTTGCTGTAGGCCCATAAATGATAAACGCGTGCTTGGAGGCACCTGAGAAGCCGCGAGGTCTGGATGGCCAAAGGCTGTCAGCTGCTAATGTCAGGGAGGTGTGGCCTGTTTCTTTGTGAGAGTGAACAATGTAGAGTAAGATAGTTAATGGAGAACACCAAAGAGGAAGAATGTGTGAGCGCTAGGAGCCCAGAATGGAAAAGGGCAAATGGCGGACCACGGTAAGGAGACACGCTGGTAGGGTCCAGTGTATGTCACACTGTGGAGCCAGCAGGGAATAGTGTATTCCCTGGTGGTGTGTCGGACTACTGCAGATCTTTTTTCCTGTCTAGAAAGAACACCTGAGAATGAGTGAAAAAAGTTTGTGAAACTTGTCTGCAAGTGTTTTGTACTGAGATTGTAGTTGTAATACAAGAGAGCAGGGGTGCTGTAATCCCCCAGCCCTGTTGGAAGAAGGGTGGGAGGACTGATTATTAAGCTCCTGGCTCTCCTGGTGGATGTGTAGTTGGGGAAACTGAAGAGCAGGAAACTGTATTTCCCCTCCTTGATGGAATAAGGGTAGGAGGGCTGATTGGTTGCTTCCTGGCTCTGCCGGTGACCTGGAGTTGAAGAGAGAGCAGGAAGTGCAGCCAGGAGGTGTCCAACTCTGTGTAATAAGAGTGGTGTGGGCAGACTGTCTAGACCCTGGCTGTCTGGCTCTGAGTGATGTCTAGTATGTGTCCACTTCAGGAACAGAGAAGGACCCTGGTACTGTGTGTTACTGAGTGGAAAAATAAACAGTGAGTAAGCAAGTAAGAAAATCATGTACAGATGGGCCTACAACAAGTTCACTTGTTATAGCCACATTAAACTTTTTTGTTTTTTAACAAAATGTTTGAACCTTTAGATTCAGTAACTGGCGGTACCTCCTTCGGCAACAATAACTTCAGATAGACATTTCCTGTGACGGTTTATCAATGTCTCGCATTGGCTTTTTGGATCGTTTTGTTAAATGAGCCAAATATATTGTATGTCTTTGTGTTATGTATTTAATCAGGTTATGTTTATCTTTCATTAAGACTTTCATATATGTAGAATCAAGTTTTATGTCTAAAATATACAATATTGACCAACCTAGGAAGGTCACCACCCTTTTCTCTGTACTGTATATGTGGATTAAAGCTTTCCTGGTTATAACTCTGGAGAAAGCACTTCTTTGGTGTCTTGAGTTCACACTCTGTGACATTCAACAAACATGAGAAGCACCCTTAAAGGAAGCTGAACCATGACGTTCAAGAAGCAGCTGCTTCCTGTAGAAATCACCAAGAAAAATCTTGGCCACCGCGAGTAATGAAGACAACTTATCCAAGTGGGGAAAAAATATGACCGCACAGTTGCTTTTCCAAGGACTTGAGGGCTGTGTCATAATAAGGAACGAAATTTGGTGTGCAGACACAAATCACTCTGTAACAATAGTCCCTTTCATGTGGCTGCTATAGAACTGAAAATCATACAGTGAAACACTATGTGAAAGTCTGATCGATCTGCTCCAGAGTCTTCTTGTTTTGCTTATTTGATAAAAAGGTTTGGAAGAAAGAAATTCCTTAATGTCAGTGTATATCGCTAACCGTCTATACACACACAATAAGAAAATTAGTAAATCTGCATAAAACAGAAAGAGATACCCCAAATAATAACTGCAGATTTCAGAACGAATCATTAAAAGTAGCTTGTGTTAGTTGATACTTTCTTGTTGTTTTTTTTATTTTTAACATCTTAACATCTAACAGTTGTACAGAAACACAGCTTACCTGTTGAGTAAATGTAGCCCACAAGCTGAGATTCCAGCATCATTTATATGTTATATGGCAGTGTTCCTTTAAAAAGACAGACTTCTAGTCAAAGTATGGAGAGCAGCATATACAGCACTCTACATGCAACGTCAGACCAAGCGGTGGGAGCATACTCAGTACAGCCCTTTTTATAGAACTCATTAAAACATCCCTGGGAAACTCTGTAGGGGTGGCATGATGACAGCTGAATTATTGTTTTAATACATTTCTAAATCACAGTCCCAGATCCACTGAGAATATTAGAAAGTGCTCTTGAGCTTGAGTTTTTGACTTAGTATTTAATGTGAGGACCGGTTAGTTAAAGAACAGATTTATAAAGATATTTGACTTCACATAATTAATTTCTTAACTAAATGTTTAGAAAAAACGTCCCGTTCCTGAGTCCTTTATAATTGGTCTCAAAATGACTCTAGGCATTAATATTCATACTGTATGTTTGTTTCCTTAGCATTCTTTAACACATTGTTACACACCTCCAGAAAGATTTTTCTTTGCCTTAATGTGTGCTATAATGCCTCTTTGGAATTCTGTTTGAATGAAATACTGGACGCTGCTCACAAGAGTTTTAAGAAGGCTCCCTGTGTGTCATGTCGTGTCATTTGCCTACCCGGCAGGCAACGAGCACAAGGCAGGGTACACCCTAGACATGGCGCCAGTCCATCGCAGGGCAAATGCAAGCCAATCATACATGGGGACAATTTGGAGGCCACGGTAAAGGCTGAGGGGGGAAATTTGGCCTGGACATGGGGAAAACTCCCTACTCTTATCGAGAAATGCCAGGGGATCTTTAATGACCACTGAGAGTCAGGACCTCAGTTTAACGTCTCATCCAAAAGACAGGGCTCCCCTTTTTAAAGAAATAACGCTCAGTGCTATATAACACTTTAACGTGTGGTACTCTGGAATTTATAAAGAGCTTTTCATTGGCAAACTAATTTGTGCATGTAAAAAATAAACGATAATCTGTTTTTACTAGTAGTGTTTTTCTAATAATCATTGGTTATTGTGTGGAAAAGTAACACAAGTAACAACCTTTCTGTCATTATATAATAAAGGACTAATTCTCATTACAGAAACCCAGATTGGGATTTTTTAATATAATGGTTTTGTATGGCTTTTCTTTCGCTTCCACTGCTCTGAAAATCGAATCCGGTTAGTGGGAGTTAACTCAATTCTCTTATGTGAGATCCTGGAAACAGAATGCATCTTATTAGCCAACCTACAGGGAGTTTGGGCTTCCCCTGTAGTGACAGAAACGTCATTTCTTCTCCATATGCTGCTGCTAATCTGATTGTGAATTTATTTAAAAGTTGGTTCTCAGATTTTCCCATTTTTTCTCTCATATTCTTTTCATTGGTTTCTGTGAGAAGAATTTTCTGCTTCAAGCATATTATTACGTCTGTGTACTTGTTCACTTGCATCATTTGGATATTTTACTAGGACCTGTGAAAGAGGCATACCAAAGGAGTTTATTAGGTGTTGATTGCAACTTTTGTATAACCTAAGGTTTGTGACAATCTACCTCTGTGCTTGAAAAAGGAGTTACTTGGCTATTTTGTACCTTTCTTTATGTAGTAAACTCATGAATTGTAAGTAAAGGTGACAAAGACAAACCCATAGCATCAGAAAATAATTGTTCTAATTTTACAGATTAGAATAATTTAAATACAAATTTTGTTGTAATTAATTTATAATCTGTTTAAATACAGATTGCTTATTTGTCCATTAACATATAAACCCCCAAACCTGCAAAAACACTCAACAGCTCTTTATTGCAGGGAGTTAATACTTCTGTAATTGGTTGAAAAATATCAATGCTTTTTATTTAAAAACTAAACTAAAAAACACAAAGTTGTGTTCTAAATGTTTGTCATCAGAGTAGTTAAATGGATGATTGCAAGCCAAAATTTTAGAATCCGAGAATCATATCATTAACATATTACTCATGTGTGAAAAACTGCTGGAGGAGTCAAGATAAAGGACAGAACCTATTTAATATTTCATGATCATTTACAAGAAAAACTCAAAGCAAACAGACCTTCCTTGTTTAGTGACCAGTGTTTTAAATATTATTGGATGTTGCTAGGTAACCTGGTAGAACACAGCAGAGTGTGGGCGGAAAGTAACTTTATTAAATCAGGTTTAGCCTGGTTGTTACGTCTGTACGGAGTGGAGCTGCGTCACACTAGTAGTGCTGGTGGTAAATACCCTAGAGTGAAGAGTGTTTGTGGAGACAGTGCTGGGCTTTTATGTTATGAGAAGGTCATGAATCTCAAAGTAAGAGTAAAAATAAAATGGGGAGAGGGATTTGGCGGACATGCACGGATACCTATGTTTGTCTTGTTTAGTCTAGTGCCATCAGTAGTGCTGTAAAATGAGGAGAGGTATCAATAGTTTGTGTTGCCAAATACTGAGATAAAATCAGGTTTAAATGGATGTAGTGACATGACAATGATATTGCGTCCAAGTCTGTTGTAGTTGAACAGACCTTGCAGTAGTATGGGGAATTCATTGGCTTTGAAAGTGTCTGGCACAGCTCTCTCAGTAAAACACTTGCTATCTTGCTGCTTTTAACAACTTTTTTTTTTTTTTACAGTGAATCTGGACTAAACCATGCTGTTACCGATGGACCATTGTGGACACACAGTGATCTTAGCAAACTGAAAGCAGGCCTACAGTTGTTTTAGAAAAATATATTTTACATAATGAAATAATGCATAGAAAAAAGAGGACATATTTTCAGTCTTTATTTTAATGTGGTCAAGAAAGATTGGATTACAGGGAACACACAAGACCTATATGTGGTCATTCATAGAACTATTGATGGGATTTAAAGATCTTTAGTGTCATGAAATGTAAACATCTTAATCCAAAGTATTTTTTTTTTTATTTGTTGGTGACTGTCCAGACAATGCAGCTTTAGCGTACTGGAACTGCTATGTTTGTTGTATGGTGCTCCGTAATCTCTTGCAGACATGCTTTTTGCAGACGTATTTTTACTTGTGTTAGCCAACCTTTCAACTGTGGAACCAGTTACCTTTAAAACGAAAAAATGAAATGCCTGAAAAATTCTTCTCTGATGTATTGTGTTCAGAAGAACATCTGTTAACAGTGAAATCTGTGGACCAAAGCCTGTACAATCCAACTGTTATGTCATCTTATGATTAAATGTAATAAATAGGGTTTTTTCTATCAAGAGTGTACTGTTTTTGTGTTTCAGTTAATGAAGGGTAACTTAAGTTTTGTTTCCCAACGGCTCAAACTGTCAATTACTAGTTGAATGAAAGAAGGCTGCTGTACATGATCATGTTAGTATATAGTTCAGGTGGGTAGCTGCGTCAGCATGCGTAGGCTGCAAAGGAACAAGTAATAGGTTTATTCCATGCTGAAAAAAAAGAAGAAAGAGAACACAACGTTTCGGCCGTGGAGCCTTCTTCAGGTGTGCTTTTTTTTCAGCATGGAATAAACCTATTACTTGTTCCTTTGCTTGCATGTTAGTATATATATTTATAAGTGGCTATACATGCACAGTGTGTGTATTCAGAATTGGCTACACACATACATATAGTATATATACTGTATATACAGTAGGACTCATCTTGGGTGATTTCTGAACTAATAAAAGGACCTCCTGCAGACTGATTAAAAATAGGTACCCTGCTGTGTAACTGTGGATTACAATGTACAGCTACTGTAGATCTTGATTTACAAGGCAGATGTGTTTCTAAAGAATGCAGTGTAAATGAAAGTTCCTCATAAGAATACATGAAAATAGGTTGGTGTGTTCTGGGTCCAATCCAAACCAGAGAGTAGAACCAAAGAAAACACACACATGTCACACGTGTATTCACACAAGATGTTTATATACTGTAGTTGTACTAAAAGTTATTTTCATGTGTTTTTAATGATTATAAATTCCATGTATAATGTAAAGACTGTTAGTAATCTTGTTAATAGGTGCATCTCAACTGAACAACTATCTTTGGCCCTTTATCTCTCACTAATAAGCCCTTTAAAATGCCTCACAAGTTAAATTACAAACATTTTTCTGTATATATGTTATATAAATTGTGGAAGGTTGTAACATTGTGTCGTGTGTGAAATTTAAATAGCATGAAATGTGTGTCATGCTACTTAATACACATGATATCACATCTCTGGGAAATGTTTTGCCAGTTTTGTCTGTCAATTATTTGTCCTTTTGCCTCTACATCTTTTCAGAGTGTTTTTAAATATTGAATCACTTGAAAACATCTTTATATGTGTATCAAAGGCACGTTTTTTTGTGGACGTTCAGATATAAATGCAAAAATTAACCTTGTGGATTTTTCCTTTATTATTCCAAACACAAGACGTTCCGGCAAGAAAAAATAAACGAAACCACATTACACTTTACACCATGTCTTGTACATTCGATAACAGCAATTCTGGGCTATAAGTAATGAAGTAACTTTACACTCTTAATAAATTTAGATTTTTCAGTCATTTTTAACACCAAAAGCTATCCCTTTACAACATAACAACTGAACAAAAGTGCATTTCAGATTGACACTAAAATAAAGAAAACATGCATGTTCATAAATGAATCCAAAATGCAAAAGTGCTAAAAGAGCTTTAGCTTTCAGTAAGTGAACAATTTTGAAACCTATGGAAATTCAACGATTTCTTGTCTTCTGATGTGAAAAATACCCATTGGTTTATTAAGTTTCACTATAGGTACACAAAGTAACTTACAAACAATAAGCAGCCTAGGAGCGGTTATCTCCTTTGAAACTTGAGATAACCAAGGATATTATTACACAAAAGGCAGTGCAGTGGGGGTTAACAAACTGGTGATGCACAATAACTTATGGGGCTATTTAAAGAGGAAGATCTCTGCTTGCAAAGCGTTGCCTTAAGATAGGTGAAAACATTATTACTTCAGGAAAAAGGATATCTTGTTATAATACAAGTTATATACTCTATGGTATGCAAAATTGACCCATTTCATTGCTTTATAGTAAACCTTTGATGTAAGGCTGCCCAAACTTGGTATCTGGTATCTGGGTTGTCGTAGTTTCAAAAGTTTTTGTTCTGAAGGAATTCTATTACTATTTTTTGATACCTCACACAATGAGAAGAAGGTCAGGTACATGTTTTTGATTCTTTTCAGCTCCTAATTGGTATCAGGTTCTTTTAGGTGACTTAGCGCTCCAATGCAAGAAAATGTCAGAAAATAACAGCACCCCAAAGGCAAGGTTTGTGAAGCTCTAAATAGTGTTTAATCAAATTCAAATCCTCTTTTGATGTAGGCATATAATGAGGTATACATTTTAGGATTTTCAGATGAATAATATATAAGGCTACTAAAATCTCATCTATAGATGAAAATTTCAAGTCAAAAGAGACATTTAAATTATTAAAAATGGGGGGCTGTACTTGACCGGACTGAGTGTAAACCTAGAATGCTGCTGCACTTGCAAACTCAGTGACACTGTAGTAATGAATACTTGTTTTTTTTTAAAATGAATCTGAAATTTAACAAACAAATGTAATAACTGATCTGATTATCAGGAATCTTATTTGCTTCCTATACAATACATCTAAAAAGAATGAACTGTATTGTAGGCCTTCCTGTCACTATGAACTGGTAACTGCAAAATTAAAGACTGAGGTTCCAATCAATGATGAATCAAAAAGGTGTAAACATTAAAATCTACTGGATTATTATGTCCACTGTCATAGCATTGACTTTTGTAGATGTTTGAAATGGTTTCCTTAGCAGATATTATAGGGGAAATCTACTAACAGCTGGTAAATTCTATTTTTACAAACTTAAAAAGCTGCAATCAGGACACCTCATTAAAAGAGAGGTCTGTGAAATCAAGTTTCATTTTGAGCCTTTCATGGTGTTATACCATTTTATTTGGTTCTGATGAAGAAAATTAGGATTAATTCCATTACTCAGGCACTAATAATGAAAATGGAGCATATCTCTGCATGTAATAAACTGTGTACACAGCAGCAACAAGTGTTTTTTAATAGTGCAGTGTCTCCAAAAACAGCCAGAGATCAGACTGACACAAAAAAGCCTTCACATTTTTGTTTCTAGGTTTACTTCCCTTATATCATATTGTGTGTTGGAAAACTCAGCAAGAATTATCTAAAGTGGGATTTTGCACCTCAAAACATGCCTATGTCCGCATGTTATTGGCACAGTTTACATAATATTATTCCTCACATATTACAATTTCTGTACAAACATCACATTTGGCTTTATTTAAAGAAACAGACACACTTCGTCATTGAGACTTACATTTTGTTTGAGTCAACAGACTCAAAGAGTTTTGAAAGTTTTTTGTGTACTTTTTGTTAAACAATTTAAAAGCAACATGTTTCATTCAACAAAGAATAAAACAAACTACTGCAGCTCATTACAACACAAGGACTAAAAATAGTCAACTCACTCTGAGTACCCTTGACATTGCATAATAACAACAATACTTGAAGACATCAAACAACTTTTACAACACACAAGATGTTCACTCAGTTTAATAAATCTGAGCATGTACATTAGAATAGCATAAGAATCAAGAATGCAGTTGGTGTAGCTTTAACTTCATCACAAATCTCATTAATTACCTGAGAATTGCTATACTAGACGTACATCTTGAAACAAGAGTACACAGAATTCTACATAATAATATCTATTAAGAGGACAAGTTGATTAAGTAGATTGATCAGTAAATTAAACAGTGCAGATTATATAAAATGTTGTATATACTGTACAATTTTCAGATATCTCTTTCAATCCATTTACAAGGTAAAGTGAAAAAATAGGATAGGTTTATGACATGCCCCTATAATATTTAAAGAACCCTGCTTAAGTTTGAGTACTGACAATTAAAAGAGATACCATTTCATTAAATTCTTCAAAACAGCTGCATTCACTCAAAAGTTTTTTTGCAAAGATATCGTCCTGTCATTTACAAAAATGACAGACAGGCCTTCAGAATACAGCAGAAAAATAGAGCATTGTTTACATGGCACTCCTTAAGCCTGTTGCTGAATTTGTAATGCTTAAGGCAAAGCTACGTGCCCGAGAAGATTTATAATCTACAAAAAACTTTATATAGTGTGTGCGTATATATATATATTTTCCTCAAAACTGAGTGTGGTAACCTTAGTTTAGGTGACTTATGTAATTGAAACTTTGCATGACTTAAAAAATTAAAATGCATTTCAGTGAAAGCATGTATCTATTACAACACTACAAAATGTGTGATTCACTGTGTATCAGCAATATTGTAAGGAAGGATGGTTTTGTTTTTTGATCATATACCTTGCCAGGGTTACCACACTGAAATTATGAGGACACAGTTATACCATCAATACACTTCAGTTTTAATAGCATGATAACTATACAGCTGATTTTTTTCCTTTCTAATATACAGAAAACATCATAATGCTAACACCTGTACACAAGAGATCTGTGCACTTTCATGTAACAGATTAAAAAGATTTTCTGTCTATAAACTACAGTGCCCAGTAAGAAATAGTACATACCCATGGGCTACTCCCAGTGACACACAGTGTCACAAACATTGTGGCATTTTTTATTAAAGCTATTCTATATAGATGATACTGTACATTTCATAAATATTTTTTTACAATCAAGAAAGAGATACAATTTGTATCAACAAACAAAGGTCATTTCTGGACATTTGAGGCATTGCTGTTTGCTGCATTGAAAACGATAGCAATAGCGTGGAATAAAAGGGACTAAGCAATAGTGAAAAATCTTTCATAGTTTCTTTAAAACAAGTTATACATATGATAAGCCATCAAAATGACAAAGAGGTTCACAAATCTTGAATTTCTAAACAGAGATACTGATGTTGCTGATATAGAAAATATATTATAAACTGATGAACATTTGAAATATAGTTTCAGATATTTATTATTTTTCACATTATTAACTATATCTACTTAAAAATTAGTGTCTTTCTAAAATACACCAGTGTGGCATTATACCTCACGGAAGCACCTTCAAGAATCTGGGCTCAAATAAACCCTCAGTTCAAACACTTACCAAACAACCTCATTTTAATTTTTTTTGTGTAATGGAGTTTGAAAAAAGTCACTTGAAAGATCTTCTTGGTCAGGGAAACAAATTAAATAGCAGCATGCAAGCCATTAGCAAAATGCCAGAAACAACCCTGACTGCAGCCTCACGTTCTGAGTGTTTCACAGTAAGAAACATTTAGGCAGTGTCACACCTTCTCATGAAGAAACAAAGGCCATACATGGCCTTCTCGACTTTCATGAAAAAAAACTTGAAGTCAACAAGTCCTTGCTCGAACGTGTCCGAGCTATTAACATTCAAAAGTATTTAAATAAGCTAATGTAAGAAGGGTGATGGCTGCTTACAGGGCAGCGTTAAAAAAGGAAAGGAACGCCTTTGAAGGCATCTTACTGCCAAGCAACACCATCCCCCCCCCCAGAAAATTAATTACAAACTGTGATCTCGTAAGGATTTAAAATCATTCAAAGTGCCATTCTGTTAAGGCTCTTTGTCATCTACCTTAGTAGGTACATGAGACAGAGTCTCAAGGAAAGCAATGCACACCTTCACATGGATTTTCAAATATTAAAACAAACAGATTTTGAAAACAAAATACTATTAAGGTAACTGCATGTAACATGACCTGTAATATATGAGAAAATGATTTGCACACTATCGCGGCACTCAACCTACAAACAACACTGTTAACAAAAAATGTGCTGTATCTTGATCTAACACAGTTAAGTATATTTTTGGCATTATCACAGCAGCTTTGAGATATTATTAACCATGGCTAGTTTTATTTTTTTGTAAATAAAGGTAAACCCAAATAACAAACACGCAAGATACAGTGTCAACTGAAATGCAAATACGACCTGTTTTCTTGCCTTTACGTTTGGCTTAGTCTTCTTAAGTTTGGCAAATTCCTACCATGAAAAGGTAGTGTCTTAAGGAAATGAGCTTCTCTATAAAATACAATATAAATTAAATAAGATAATTTTAAGCTACTGATAACACTAGATATTTTCAAAAGCAAAAACAGACCTCTTTAACAATGTTTAAATATAAATTAATAGTGGTCAGCAACGATCGCACTGAGGTCACTTAAATATAAGGCAATTAAAATTGAAATTCCATGCACTGAGGTATGCACTTCCTTAGGCTTCCACCTTTTCCTTTTGTTTCAGATCTCACAAAAATCATGTGCCAATCACAACATATTTACAGCAGTGCTAGAGCAGGTACAAATATATACACAATATGTTCTACCTTGTGCATCACAATATATTTTAACTGGCTTCAGTCCATAAAATATATAATATTATACTTATTTTCCCTTCAAAATGAAACTTTTAACGCCCTGACTTTAACTTGGCAACTATTACCGTTGCAAGCTGCTGTGGATCTGTCATGTGGGGATTCTTCTCCATTACGGAGTGAACAATATAGGCTGGGAAAATGTTGCAGAGGTTGCGGTAGGTTTGGTATTGGTGCTCTGGGATGATGTGACGTTCCTGAGGCTCCGGAGACATGCTTTCCCAAGGCGACCTCCAGATCTGCTCCATCTTTTCCGGCATGCTCCGTACCATGACTCGCTCGCAACAGGGCTGCATGAGATTGTTGCTTAAGGGGTAAGAGTGGTATCCATAGGATTCAGTTCCACAGGGAAGTGGGTCCCAGCTGGCATGCTGCTCCCTGCAAAGTGGAGGCCTCCTTTGTCTCATCGGATTACTTTCATAGAGTCTGGAGTCCGAAATGCTGTCCATTCTGGTCATGCCCAGTGCCCGACCTGGCTGTGAAGTGGATGAAGGGTGAACATTTTGAGGTATAGGGTAATCCCCAGGGCAGCTTGACCTGGCACCTACCACTGGATGCTGTACATGTGGCGCAAGATGGGACACAGATTGCTTACGAGGTGCCTGCTTTGGCTCATCAGGCCCGTAACTCTGCACTCTTGTTAACGCTTCATGGAATCCATGGGCAAATGCCTGCAGTCTGTTCTGAGAGGACGACAGGTGACTCTTCACATTTTCTTCAGGACCGCTGTCTAAGGAGCTCATGTACAAATCAGTGTAGGAGGAATAGGATTCATTGCACGGATCAGAGCAAGGGCTGGGATTTCTCTGGTACATCCCATGTTCATGCTCCATGCTATAGAAGTTGTCTGTGTTGTGCATGCTGTTCAAGCTCATGTTTGAAAAGTCGCTCAACATAGAATAATACCCGTGATCACCCACAGAATCGTATTTGCCATACTGTTCAGTGTAGTTGACAGAGGTGCCATGGCTGTTGGTCACCAAAATAGGTGGGTACTGCACGCTGGACATGTGCTCCAGTGAACTGTGGGAGAACTGGGAAGAGCCTGGAACAGGACTGCTGGCCGATCGGGTGTTCAAGGCACCAGCCGCATGGCTTTTCACAGGCTGCATGGTTGGGACACTGAGAGCAGACACAAGAGAAGGCACAGAGTTTGCCTCAGACTTGCGGGCAGCTGACAGTCGCTCTTCAGGCTCACAGGCCACAGAGCGGATGCTGGGGTCAGACTGACGTTTGGGAGTGATGCGTTTTGCCTCAGTGCTGCTCTCTCCTTTTGCTGCTGCAGGCCCTGTGCCACATTTGGCTAAGGCCCCTTCGCTCATTGTTTTTACAGCTGAAAGCTTAGCGAAAGCACGCAGTTCGTCTGCTACTGATCTCTGTGGCTGGTTTGCACGTTCAGGGTGATAGTATTTGCATTTGTGTCCATAGGTACATTTCTTTCCTGTAAAAGAAACAGGAAAAGCAGTGAATAAATACTGATGAGCACTAAAGACAAATTACAAAAGCAGTCAGGCAAGGTGTACTGTAAATAAAGGATTAAAATAAATTTGTATATACAGTTATAGACGCAAATTCCAGAATATACCAGATCCTAAAGCGTTAAGTGTAATAATTATTACGAGTTAAATAATATGTATTTGACAATGATATATTTTTTATCTGAGGCAGGATCCTGAATCAGAGAGAGCAGTTAGACAATGAATGGATGGATAGTTTTTATCTCTTTTTAATGTTTGTATATAAATGTATTTTACATTCTTAATTAATCTACATGTGTGTAAGTTGCAGGGCAGTAAACTCACCATAAGGACAAGGTTGCTTTTTATGCTCTGGAATAACAGGCCGTTTTCTGAGGAAATTCTCCAAACTTGGACCATGTCTCCCCAAGGGATCATCAGGGGGCATGAATCTAAAGAATACAAATTGAATACTTTGTTTTTATATGAAGAAAACTCCACAGCCAAAACATTGTGTTTCCTTTCTTTTCTTTTTAGCATGGAATAAACTTTTACCTGTTCTTTTGCAGCCTATGCAGGCTGACACAGCTACCTATTTGAACTTCTTTGTTTTTATATACAGCATAACGTACTTTGATTAGTCCAATTACCATTAGCTTATCTTTTTTAATGTACTTCACTAAAACATTTGAAGACAATTATTTCAAATATTTAACTCTTAATATGGATTTATAAAATGGTGTCAATGAAAATACCTTTTCTGATTTCACAGTTCATGAAATTCCTGTTGTATGTTTTAAATTATGTCAGACTTGTTTGTAATTACTCACTTATCATTTACAAATGAATACATCAGCAGCCGTTCCTCTATGAATTTCTTCCATTCAGGTTTCTCATTCTGTAGATCCCTGTAGTTGTCATTTGATACAATAATGCCGTCAGAGTCATATGCAAGCTTCACTATAAAGCGATCATCGTAGCACACTACCCTTCTTCCTTGGACTCTCCGAGACGGAGTGAAGACAAGAATTTTCTCTTTTTCAAGCTTTCTCAGGATCTCCTGATCTGTAACATATGACACTGAATTAGAAACAGGTAAAAAACAAATATCTGACCTTGTCATTCTGGTATAAATAAATTAATAAGATTTATAACAATGACTAGCACCTGACTGCTCCCAAAGTAGAATTGAACACTTCTGAAAAGCAAGTTTCAAGTGCACCAGAACATTTTTTTCCTTCTTCACTGTCTACATTTTGATTCAGTAGATTCCTCCCCATTACTAGACACAGTAATTAATGCATCTGATGTAAATGAACTCAAGAACTCTCAATCATAATCTCAAACCACAGCAAAACAAGTATTATTAGGAATTAGCTTTTGAGTGTTTAGTAGTAATCACATCATTAGATGTTTTGCATTCCAGTTGTTCAAAACTAACAGAAAATGTGTGGTAAACAGAAATGTTATGCACTGTTAAACATTGTAAAACATTGTTAAACATCTCCTGTTTATAGAAAAAGGCTTACTGATTGTGGAATGCATTCAAAAATATTTCAGAAGCAAAACTGGAAATTCATCTACAATTTGTAGATAATAATGCTTTAAATTATCTGATTGTTTTTATATAAGAAAGGTTACAAACAAGAGGAGGCCATTTGAACTATATAGGTCATTTGGTTGCCAGTAGCCAGCTGGTCTGAGGATCTTATCTAGCTGTTTCTTTAAACAAGCCAGGGCAGTGACTTTAACAGCATCTGTGGGTAATTGTGCTACAGCCTTTGTCTACAGAAATGTCATCTTATCTATTGTAAATTATTTGGTATTGCTCCTAGCATTGTTTAAAATATGTGTTAACACCTAAGTCATGTTTATAAGTACTTTCATCAAGATCAGTGTTTCCCAGTCTAGATCAAAGTAATACTCTGCTTATACTACATTATACTTCAGCTGCCAGACATTTGCCCAGGTCTGAATTCTATCTAAATGTTTTTAAAATTTCCTTTGCAAATTCTGCAGTACTTAATAATCCTTTTGATATCACCTACAAATGTCACTTACGTCTCTAGAATCCAGAAAACTTAATTAGAAAGAGTTCTAGTACAGATCCCTCTGGTAACCTACTAATTACATTACCCATTATTGAGCATCTACCCCTTATATGTACTCTGATTTCTATCCATTAACCAGTTCTCAATACCAACATGTGTTACCTTGACTGCCTTCTGTCTGTATTTGAAAATTAATATCTTCTAACACTTTAAAGTCTGATTTTTATGTAAAAAAGGAGTGCTCATATATTATAGGAATGCTACCACTTATAGAAAACTAAAAAAATGTAATTTGTGTACAATATTGATAGGCAGAGGAGCTTAGAAAACCCAACAAGTCCCTGCACCTATGTACCCATGTTAAATATTTTGGTTTTATTAGGTTGTCAAAAAATTGTTTTATCCAATGAGTGAATACTGTATAGTGTTCCATTAGATACAAAATTATCAGTATTATACACATTCATAGATTAATGATTCACTCACAATGATTCAAGAGTACAATGAAGAAAAACATTTGATTTTTGTGTAGTGAAAGTTAAAAAAGCAGTTCTTTCTTTCTCGAAAAGTGTGCACTTTGAATGTGGTCAAGATTTCTATTTTGTGTACCACACAAGGCACACTGTGTAGTGAGTGTAAGTGTCTACCAATGTTGCACACTGGCTTGGTGCAATTTTTGCCCATTTTTCTTGGCAGATTTGCTCAGGTTCTCTCAAGGTGCATGTGGATCGCTCATGTCTTTCCACAAATTCTCAATTGGATTCAAGTCAGGATATAGATTGGGGCACTCAAGGACAAGGATATTCAATTTTGTATTCTTAAGCCATTCCAGTGTAGCAATGACCTCATGCTTTGGATCACTATCTTAATACTAGGTAAGGTTTTTGCCCAGTTCTAGGTCAGAAACAGGTTTTCTTCTAAGATTTGCCACTACTTTTGCTCAATTTATGTTCCTGTCAGTTTTGATAAGCTTCCCAGTCCCAGCTCATGAGTAGCAAAATAATAACATAATATTGCCACCATCATGCCTTACCGTTACAGTCAGTGATGACAGTTATGTCATGCTGGGTCTATGGCTATGATATTTATTCCAAATGTTCCAGTTTTGTCTTGTCTGACTCTTTGCCACATATCTGGTATATAATTTCGTTGGTGTGTTCTAAACTCCATGAGTGAGTTTTTTTCAGCTCCATACAAGCCTCCCTTGTGGAGTGACCGGGATATAGTTGACCCATAGACATTTTCTCCCATTTCAGCCACTGAACTCTGAAACTCTTTCACAGTCATTGTAAGCTTCATGGTGGCACCTACTGTATGGTGACTGTGTCTGGATGCCTTCCACTTCTTAATGATTGACTTTATAAAGAATCTTTAAATTTACCCCTTTCCAGATTTGTACCTTTATACAACTTTATCCTTTATCTTTGCTTGAAATTCACGAACTGACTAAGGGATCTTACAGAGAAAGTTATGTGTATACTGAAATCATGTGAACCACTATTGTTGCACACAGACATAAACTACTCAACTACTGTAATTGTATGATATGTTTAGGTAATTATGTGTACCTATATTTAGGTTTGCCACAGGAAAAAGAATGAATACTCATACAGTCATGACTTGTACATTATAATATGAATTATCTACTTCTTTCTTTTTTGTTTTGAATGTGTGGAGTAGGTTGTGTATTTAATAAATATTAACCACAACTATTAGCTACTCCAAAGTGACATGACTGAAAGCTTTAAAGCAACATAAGAAAACTATGCAAAAGTCTGAATACTTTTGTAAGGGATTGTGCATACAATCTGCCAATAATATCTTGGATCCTTCATTACAATGAATAGAATACCATTAGACCCCACAGATATGTTTCGAGTTCAACACAACTAGAATACAACATCTTTAGCTATAGGTTAATATTATTTAGTCTAGACCTTCATCTTTCCTGTGGTATGTTTTTTATTTCTTCCTTCGTAAATACCTGAAGGAAATATTCATTTAATACATACAGTATGCAATTTTCCATTTATTGTATAAAATCACTTCATCTTCTATTTTTTCTTTTGCTGCTGTAATACTGAAAAAAGCCTGAACTACAATATTTCTTTCCATATTGCTTGATTTTTCAATATTCTTTTTATTTGTGATTTCAATTCATTACTGTTATATTCTTTTTTTTATTTGGATCCTGTTCTTTTTTGTTCATTTTATAGAACACTTTTATTTTCTCTTTATAGTTTCTAATTGATTTATAAAAGCTATATGACTGCTGCTTTCAAGTCTTTAATTTACTCACTTTTGAGATAATTCTATTCTGTGCTTTGAGTAGAAAATCTTTTAAATTATTCCATATGCATGCTAATCCATTCTTCTCAAGTTCTCATTCTTTCATACTCTGTATTCCTGACATTGTACACTTCTATTACTATTACTAAGTAAATTGGCAAATTGTAAACATGTTTTGCACTCTGTCAGTGCAGTTTCAAAGTATACTTCAAATAATATCACATTTTGATCGCACTCTCTCTTGAAAGCTCAATTGAAAAACAACATCAATACATAATCTCTTGTACAGTAGGTGCTGTGACAAACTGAGTAAGGTAAAAGTCATTAGCCATATGTACCATTTCAGTTTCTGCTGCTTAATGACATATTATTTTTACATAAAAAATGTAAATGTATGTAGGGAAAATTTCAATCTCAAAAGCATTTCGTCTTTTAAAAGCATGTTCCTAAATTTCATTAAACAATGTTTAATTATTTTATACCTGAATATTTTATTTTGTAAGTTACTCCTATCACTATATCTTTTGAATGTATTTTATAAGCCTAAATCATACAGATTCTGAGGAGATTCTCCTAGTCTTGCATACCTGTGATGGGGGCATCAGGCCTGGACTGCTCTTTCCTCCAAGCAGGCACAAATACTGTAATGTCTTTGTGTCCTTTCTCAAGAAACCAGTCCACAGCCAACTGGATTCCACGGCAGGAGAAAACCTCTTTGTTTCCATGACTACAAAAAAGAAACAAAAGACAAACGTAACTAAAAACTACCTTTTGTAAAAACACAGATTCTTTAAAAACTCTGATTTGGGCTTCCTATATTTTATATTAGCGATCATAATATTAACATTACTAACACCTATACATAAAACAGAACACTTCCCGATTAAACAGTGGTTTGAAAAATGTTTACACAAAGTTCTTTCATGACCTCAGCTTCAAAAGGAGGAAATTCACAAAACCCTTTGCTCTGAAAAGTAATGTATTCTTTTTTTCCAAACCAAATCTAAAATATGTGATAAAGAAATCAAATATTATCATTAAATTCCAGTCAATTATGTTTTATGAATATAGCTGATATCATAATTGTTATATATAATAAATCAAAGATAATTAAGATTGCAGTGTGTATATGTATATGTATATGACACAAATGTGAAAGTAAAACTGTATTTCAATGTACTGTATAGTCTACCCCTACTTAAGCATGCTGTATTTTCTCTAGACCTATATCCTAATTAAATATATTCAATTTCATAATGAAAAACTATTACAAATAACAGTCTATTAATTGTAACATGTTAAAGTGTATGTTTCCACTGCTCTGCATAGAAGTGGTGCTTTTCTTGATATGTTACACTGGCAACATACAATATGTTCCAGCAGGTGCCTGTGTCAGGGCCATTAATACATTTAATATTCTCACTCCAACTGTAGGCTTAGATCAAAAGTGGATAAGCCCTTTGAATAAGGTAAATGGAATGTTTCATTAAAATACATTGATAAGAGAATGCAAAGTCAAAATTAACACAGCATTTGTTAAAACCTATGGTTAAAACATATGCTTTTTTCTCAAATTAATGTATTACAATGTGTCATTACTGGAAAAAACTGAATGAATTTTTACAAAATCTGTAAAGCACAGACAGATTTTAAGCAACAAGTAATTTCCATTAAATTCTTGATAGTTTAAAGTAACTACACCTTATGTCACCTAAATGCCTTAAAGATGAATAGCTTAATAATGCTTTTTAAGGTTTAATAATTGCCCTGAATTATTGTCACTATGGTAAATCTGAAACTAATGATAAAGGACTGTGATTTGACCTATAAGCATTTTGTGTTTACAGGGGTGGTCCAAAAGTATTATATATAACTCGTGACCTGGGATTGCAAATCAAACACACAAAATGCTACAAAATGTAAAAATACCAAATTTGGTTATGCACTTAAGGGGTTATAACTTAAGTTATAGTGATGATAAACTTTACCTAGAACACTTAGAGCATTCATGCACAATATAATTGTTATAACTTTTACCACTTACAATACAACACAATTGAGATCTTCTGGTAAACTGGCATTCGATACCTACCTCATAGCCACATTGGAGCCATCTATAACTATAGGTCTCAGGTTATCTAAATTGTCCATTACTTCATCTTCTAATGAAACTTCAGGACTTGAGATTTCCTTAGTACAAGGGCCCCGAGGTACCAATGTGCTTGTGGATCCACTAGCTTGTGCATCCAAGTCACCTTTATTGCCTAGTCTTACAAGTTCTGCCAAAATGTCATTAATAAGAGCATTTGCTCCTAGCTTGTTGAGTACAGTTTCTATTTGTTCACGTGAGTATCCCAGCTTCAATGCAAAATCCATTTTGGACTGGTATTCAGAGCTGAACTTGCAGCCAGCAACCTTGCTGTCTTCTGGTCGGACCTCTTGCAAGATGCTGCTCTGGGAAAAGCTGGGCCGGTCCAGGCAAGGGGAGCGGCAGAGTTGTCTGTGGGGCTTGGTGGAGATCAGTGATTCCCTCTTTTTGCTGCAGACCTGCTCCGCTTCACTCTCTGAGCTAGTGCCATCCTCAGACTCCCCACTGCCATCTGTTGCCTCTCTGAGGACATTGGCATCTTCTCTGGAGGACCTTTTCTCCATTTTCAGCTTCTCCACCATGGACCAGGCCGTCATTACGTTGTGCCCCCCACCCGAAATCTCTACAGTGTTCTCTTTCACCTCCACAACAGCCTGTGAGTCATATTCAATGATCGATTTCACTGACAGCAGCCGTTTGCGCAGTGCCAAAGTTAAAGGCTCCTTCCTTCTGTGTTTCGGTGAAATCAGAGACACTATATAATCCTGAAAGAAAACAGATCATTAGAAGCAGTCTTTCTAAATTTGATTTTGTTACCTGTCTTACAGTTAAATAATTTAAGATCACCATTATATTTCACTGACGTCCACGTTAAAATGAAGATTTTAGCTTATTAGGTCTAAGATTACTAGTTAGCTATTAAAATATCACATGAAAATCTCCCATAAGCAGGGAGTATTTATTTATCAATCTAATCTAATGTGGTGCTTTTCTACTCCTGCCATTCTATTGGTTTAATATTATTACTTCTCAAGCTAATCAGTCACTTAACTTTATGCCCTATGTTTAACTGATTCACCTTCCAACTCTACCCTTTATGTCCTAAATGGCTAGCAAACAATCGGACCTCAGATTCTCTTAAGACTATATTTCCTCCTCCCCATCACTCCTCCTGTATGCTCCTTCACACCCTTCTCTCCCTTCTTAGACCCTTTTAATGACCTCGCCACGGTCTCAACTCCCTCTATTTCTATTCATGCGTTCTCTGTTAGCTCTTTTCTCCCACACTGATTAACACAAATTTTTGGAACTCTCTGTGGACTTAGCTACCTCAGGTCTGCTTCTCTTGCTTCATCTCTTGACTCTCTTTTCTCATGTTTTGCTCTGTTCAGTCCACTCATTCACAGCCCTGGGTTTCCTACTGTAAGCTGAATATCTTTTGTTTATATCAGGGATTCTCAATCCTTCTCCTGGAGAGATAATCTGTCCACTGGTTTTTATCCCAACTCAGTTCTTAATGACATGAATCAGCTTACTGTTGGCTTAATTGAAGAAATGTAACATCTTTTCTCAGCTTTTCAGGTGTTGGTGCTTTAAAGAGAATTTAAAAAGTGCAGACACACCAGCCCATCAGGACCTGTATTGGTTTATTTAACTTCTACAACACGTTTATGTTGGCATTTTAGAGATTTTGTTAGAGATTATAAATTGAATTTAAAAGAAAAATAATAATACAGCTTCCTTATCAACAGTGGGAAACATTCAGCAGAAGAATTACATCACTACAGAGTTTCCAAAAAGGAACTAGACCATTTACCTTGATCTTACTTCCCTTTTTAAAATAATTTCAAGAATAATAACATGTGAAAACAGTGTCTGGTCTCTTTATGTCATATGTACTCATAATTTCCATTTAGATTATAGTTTCAAGTGTCAACTGTTACTACCATAAGTATGATTATGATTAGTTTCACTATTTCTATTTGTAAAAAAAGTTTTAATTACAAAAACTCAAATATACACTGTGAACTGTTTTGTTTTCTATTTCTATTATTTTAATTAAGATGATAAAACAGTTGAAATTATATGAATCTTTAAAATTAGACAGAATATTTTAGCATATCTACAGTATATGATGGAGCAATATTGTAGTTAATCCAAATAAAGCCCTCAAAACAGTTCCCTTTGATCAAATTCAACAATATCACTGATTTCAAATACAAAGATTTTATCAAACATCTGTTACAGGTAATAATCTGTTTTAATTGCAATATTGTAATTGTTCTTAAAACATTTTCATAATAACAAAAGATAGTAGATAACACAAAATCTTTCCTCACCATACATTAGCTTTGCAGAACATTAAATGCAAATTAACAGTGGATCAAAACCCACACGTGTATAACAGAAATTCAGTGCAGGCTTGTACTATGAATTGAAATATACTAATTTGAACAATTATAGGCTTGAAAAAGCTGAGTGTGACGATAGTACAGGTTAACCAAATGTGCTACTGTTACAAAATAAAAAATTATATTATATTACATATTTTAGTTGAATATTTTTATTTATATAAATACTGATCTGATTTCAAGTAATGGTTAAACTGCATTGTGAGACAAACTAACACTCTGTTGCACAAGAAATAAAACAGGAGATTATTTTGTATTATCTGGCTAAACTTAATCTGTTTGGCGTAATCAATAAAACATCTTGCTGATAATACTGAATAAAATTAAAAGAAACTGATGTGAATAATTATTAAACCAGACATATTTACTTACTATAGGTTATACAACATTTTAAATCATACATAAAAGCACTTGTGTCACACTTTATATCTACTGTATGTTTTACTACATTTGTGAACACATATATAAACAGATACATAAAGCAGATTAGACAGATATTTACACAATGGCTGTAAATATATGTGACATAAGTTCACGTCATAAAGCTACCTAAAGGAAAGTACAATTCTGAATAAGCAGGTCCTCTTTTAAAAAACAAAACAAAACCTGGGTACTCACATTAGATCTTTCTTAAGGTTAATAACTCCAAATCCATATCTGTTTAACAATACGGTGTGCAACGGCTCACATAGTTCATGCACTCCTTTTATTCTCCAGTCACTCCCCCTGCAGGATCACTGTGACGCTGAGTCACAAGCTCTACGCACGGACAGCACCGCCTTGGCACTGCTTCAGCGGCACAGTTAAGAGAAAATAATCCGTTTCAGACTGTTTCAAAACACCAGTATATGAGCTTACTCAATTTCATCATATGGGAAGAGGGGAAAACACATGATTTCATGTCTTTCATAGAGTTATACAGTATAACCCTAAGGTTTCAAGGTTATGAGAAAACAAAGCACAAAAAGGACTGAAGAACTGAAAACAACCACATTTTTAACACAAATGAACAACTACAATTTTTAATGGTCCAGAGTGAATGGCAGTAAATGCTTGGCCTTTTCTTGTTAACAGCTATTTTATCTTCTTTCCTTTTTTTGTCTACACAACTCTGCAGCTTACATTTTTCTAGGAGTCTAAAAATGTATTGTCACACAGTTTTGTCCAAAAATACAATACATAATGAAGAATGAGACCACAAAAACCCAGAACTCATTACTATTTATCAGAATTGATAATCTACAGATTTTATGCTGCTGAGCGCAGTTTTAAAACTGAGGATTTAGCAGTAGTTCTGGATGGAAACCCAAAGCCTTTGTTCACAAACTAGAAATGAACATGGTCAGCCACATGGAACACTGTACCGCTACACAAGCACATGCCACTTGTATTTATTTAGAGTCGTCTTTCCAGGCATACACATTTATTTTGTGAAGGTGGAGCTGTCAAACAGGAATGAAAATAACACAACAAGCAAGCCCCTAAATAATGTGGGTGTAAATGATACCCTAACACCTCAGCAAAAGTTTAAAACAACTGTAGCTTTTTATTGCATGCTTCCTCCTACAATAGAGTTTCTGTGATGCTCCCAAATGATCACAATGACACATCAGATCAGTGAACAAGATCATTTTGTGCATGAGTTTAAGAGAACAAATAAGTCTGAGACTATTTAATACCCAATCTTAGGCAGTTCCGTATTTTTCATATATCAGTATCTACAAATATTTCTGTAAAACGTTTTTCAAAGGAGTTAAACTTTTAACAGGACAAACCAATATTTGACGACTATTAGCTATAGAACATGTTCAGCAAATGCATATGCTACACATGTAGAATCGGCTTAGTCAAATGAATAAAAAATTTAAATGTATAAAAAGTTCACCATGTATAACCTCTCAAAGGAATGGTTTCTGATGGAGTTTTTTAATTGTTTGGAAAAATCAATCAAACTCAAACTCCCCTTAGTTTTCAAGTTAATGCAGATTAACTACACCTATTAGTAGTCTTTTCTCATTCAATTACTTTTATACACTTCTATACAACACTGAGAGGTTTGCACACTATAAGACCAATTCATGTTCTAGTTATTCTACTGATGTCACAGAAACATAATTGCACGTAGTTATATGTTTCCGTAGGCCAATATGAGAGCTTATTATCCTGTCATTACTACAACAAAAAAAACATTGTATGAAATCACAGCTGTTGATAATTCTCACTTCGTGCTGGCATGACTATAGCCTTATTGATCCATGAATTTTACTATCTGGACAGCTGGACAGTTTGTTCCAGAAATGTTTCCAAAATACACTTAGTCTAGCTTTCTATCTGTTTCCCCAATTTCGTTATTGTCTAGATGTCTGTTAGTTTGACTTGGCAATGCAGAAAAATAAGATCATAAAAATGGTACAAAACAAAAGGCATTCACTTGGCCAATTAAGCTCATTTAGATCCTGTCCAGGAGTGCAGGGTCGACACGTTTGTATATTTCACTCAGAAGTTGTTCTAGAAACAGGTATGTTCCTGTTTATCCATTTCTCTGTTCAGATTGAGCACTGTTGCGGAATAATGATTCTATCATTGTATCAGAAATGTACCTAGCTGTCAGGTCCTACTGCAGCTAAAAAATCAGTGGAACTGTGCTGGGTGCCCTCTCCTGGTATCACTGGCCTATCTTATCATTATTATTATCATTTAAATCAAACTTTCAATTGCTAGATCCATGGTGCCAGTAGGAGAAAAGGGAGGTGTTGGAATCAAGGTTGCCACTAATGGAGTAACAGCCTTTTTATATTGGGGTTCCATTGAAAAGGTTTAGTTGCAGTTTAGGGGCTCTTACGCAGAAATTTGTAATTGAGTACCACTAAAGGGGATGGGTGATGGATAGGTTAATCAGGGGTGGAGAACGGTTATTCTAATCTGTTATTTTGTTTTGTTTTTGGGACTATACAGATGTGTTCACAAAGAGGGTAAGCAAATTATTTCTGTATTAATTACAGATTTTAAGGCTGATATATTATTTCCAATGACAAAACATCACAAGTATATTAATGTATATCTATAAAGTGTCTGAACATCATAAAACTGCTAAAATAATAAAATATGCCCACATGAGGTCACTATTCTCAGAAATTCACAACAGAATGGAAAAAAGCAAAGTATGCAAGTACCACACTGTTTACAACAGTCCTAAAATTATCCAAAGCTAAAGCCGTTTTTTACTTCTTCGTTAATTATGATATATCAATATCAATAATTGCCCAATACATCTATTGTTGTAAGCAGAATTATCTTGGTATACAATGGTATACAAAATTGCCAAATTTAAAATTACTTCAAAGTACAACATT